CCAGAAATCTTGCAAATATGAAATGGAAATGATTAAGGTTTGTTTTTTATATCCTTTTTTAAAGCATGATTACAAAAAAGTAGTAGTGCAAATAAAGAAAAAAGTTTTATCATGTTATCTTTTCAGTATTCGCTCAAATATTTTTCATTAGCATATAGGATTTATAATTAAATATTTGTGCTATATTTAAAGAGAACTATATTAATAATTACAGGAGAAGGTACCATGGGATTTTAGAAAATGGGTCAAATGTTACCTGTGGCGACGCTACATGAAATTTTCTGGTGACATGAGTACTTCTAAACAGTACCAAAAGTGGATGGGGACTTTTCAGAAGAAGTGGTTAAAAGACCAAAGTTCAGAAAGCGATGGACTAAATCTGACCAGTAGTGAGGAAGAGGCTGGCACTACAATCTCTGGAAAAGCATCAGGTATGTATAATCTAACTTTGAATATTCCCTTACTCTAAGTAAAGGTGACAAGTGAAAAATCACATTTTGACGATTTCTTGGTCTCCTGTTCAATCCTAGAGGAGTCTGTAATTTCATGTCAACATGCCCTCCACTTGGAAATCAAGCGCTTCACAAACTCACCCACTGCACCTCTTTGATTATTTAGTTCTTATTTAACTAAATTTATTGTGTGTTAGAAGAAAATTTCCTCAAGTATGAATATAAATATTTTCTCCCCCTCACACACACACCTATGTTTGACAAGGTTTAAATTTAATAATACTTACAGATAAAGAAGTGGAGAAATCTTTCAAGAAACTTCGCCTTGATGAACAGACCAGCCCGCTAAAGAGTGTTTCATTTTCAGACGACCAGAGAAAACCATCTCCTTGTGGAGCTGACAATGAAGAAAGCATTGAGTCATCTCAAAACAAAAAGGTAACTCAACTTTAATTCTGTGTTTTCAAAGTTCTTTCTCTGTTTAAAAATTATTTACTCATCTCGAGTTATTCGTATTGTTTTAGAAACTTGTAGTCACTCCAGGGCTGTCCTTAGGCATATCAAAATAGGCAGCTGCCTACGGCCTCCTATTGGTGGGGGCCTTTCAAAAGACTCAAAAGAATATTTTTTTTTGCGAAAAAATTGCTAAACACAGATCACATCTCAAACAGCAGAACTCTACGGCTCTATGTCTATTAGCTTAGATCTAATTCTGTATATCATTCAAGGTTTATTCGTGAATTTTTAGGTATTCTTGTTAGACTACATATATCAGAAAACCATTGTTTCTTCCTATTTTGAAATGTTGAAACGTTATTCTAGTTAAGTGATCATGAATCGTCCATACAGCACATTAGTGCTATTGTAGCTATATGAATTTAATTTTTTTTTAAATTTAGATATAGATACAGGATGGTTTACAATTCATTAAGTATTTTTTTTTTGTTTTTCTATAACATATTCACTTTGCATGGGGCCTCCCTATTTCCTTCGCTTAGGGACTCCCATTACTTAAGAGCAGCCCTGGTCACTCTCTGAACATGTAATGAAATAGAAAAAATCCACACATACATAATACACATCAAAAGATTTGAGTAGAAAAAAAAAAAGATACCTTCACCAACTTTTTGGCTATAGGCTTGTTTGAAACCCAAGTCAAGAACCACACAAATATTGAAATAGCAAGGTTGTTAAGTGTTATAAAAATAATTTACTCTTGATTTAATTGTCACACTTTGTGTTCAACCTCTTTGAGTCTGTTTTGTTTGTCTTGTCCAGAATTGGGCTAAAGAAAATGGGAAAACCTCTTGTGCTAGTGGTGCTGGTGCTTCAGATGAAGAGATGAATCAATGGATGACAAAGATGATGATGAAAATGCAAATGAAAAAAATGAAGAAAGACTCGAAGGAGGCTCGCAAGGAAAGGAAAGCCGAAGCCAAGTCCCAGAAATATTTCAGGATGTAAAGAAGAATTCAGTTCCGGCTTAACATGAATGCATTTTATTCACTTTTCTTTATTTTGAGAGATTTTAATAACTTGTATTTAAAGAGTCATTAAGATAAGATTTTTTTAAAATATTGTCAGATAGTCAGAATTATTTTTTAGACTTCCTCTTATGTTGTAGGGCCTAAATTGTCCCAAAATGCCAAAAACCCAAAATATTAAATATCCTATGTTTTAAAAAATTAACATTTTTATTTAGAATCTCTTTTTTAAATTTTTGTTTGTTTCATTCAATCATTAGTAACATTTATTGAATACGTTACCTTTCAATGCTTTATTTGGACAGTTTATATAAATCTATATACCATAATGAATACAGTAGTCTAACACTAGTCTAGTTGTTTTGTCCATACTCTAGAACCATTATTGTAAACAAGTTAAAAAATAAAAAAAGGAAATGTGTTTTTTCTATATTGTTAACTTGGTGCACATAAATGTCTCAAAATTTTCCTTTGAGAGTAATATGACAATCTACAGTTATAAATTGTATATTTTACATAACTTACAAATCCAAGTGAACCCAACTATTTTAGATCTATATTTTCTTCTAACCAATGTCTGTTTTATGACCTAGTTGCTATTTATGTATGTAGTAATTCATGTGTGTCTTAATATTGTTTACCTTTTTACTGGCACATCTTTTTTTCTTCTGGCACCATAAGGATTTATTTTGTAAGTTTTTTTTACCAAGAAACTGTGTCTTTACTTTTAAACCTTTTTGACACTGGGTAATTTTTAACTATAATTTCATTTTGAGGGACTGAGATTTAGAATTAGGGAATCTGTTGGTTAAATCATAATTACAGTCATATTTTTCTATTTTATCTGATTACAGTGATATTATCTATATTATTTTTTTAAATTGGAAGTTTCTAATATTTCAACTCTAAATATGGCAATTTTTTTGTTGATCTGCTTTAATGTTCTGAAGAATTTCTACAAATTGTTTGGTACATGTAACTTTAAACACTTTTTTTAAGCACCTTATATCAACTACTGTGATTCTTCTTGTATGTAGACAATCTGTTCCTAAGTGGTACCAATAACAAGTCACTGTAATCCAGAAATATTTCTTTCAATGTAAACAGTTCTCTTATGTTGAAATCAATGTTGTAAACAATAAAATGTGTAGTACATAAAATGTGTTTGTTCAATTCATAAGGAAAATGTATATGTTTTAGAGAAACAAAAACAAACCACTCCGTACTATCAACTTATTGAGAAGCTGACATTGTTAAGAATACACACACTTATTTTTAAGGTGTAGTTCTACTTTGCATTTAAACCTAGTGGACATTCTTATATTACTTGACATAGAAATGAAAAAAGTTGGGAGATGTAACTTGATTAAAGATGAAGTTAGAAAAGAAACTTTTTTTGCATAGTTGTTCTAAAATTAATGGTAAAGCTTCCATTCATACTAAGGCAAACAAAACAAGCATCTCTTTCTAATCAGAAAGCAGGGTGTCTGGTTTCAACTTTTGTTTTATCAATCAGTACTTTTTTATAGATAATTCTTTGACATTACAGAAAACGTATTGTAACATCAAAGAAAACACTTAACAACTTCAGGGAATAAAAGTTAATTATTTGTAATGCAGAGGATAATGGTATTATTGAGAGATAAAATGTATATGTATTAATTTAGTTTCAAAAAATAACAAGCTATATTGAGTTTAAAAAAAGAGCTTTTTATTTTCATAATTTATTACCAGAATAGATGATTAGATGTCTGGATCTGTGTAGCTAAAGAAATAGTGGAATTAATCCTTACATAACAATGGTTGGTTAAATATAAAAATAATAATTTAAAAAATATATATATTACAAGATTGCTGTGCAAGAAAGTGATTCTTTATATTTAATGCAGCTGGTAAGAAATTTCCTTTTTTAATCTTACAACACTGGTCAAAGATAAGCAACGTTTTTGATTGTAATCTGATGACAGTAGGATGAGTTTCATTAGATATTGTAGACTACATAACTAAAAAAAACTACCACTCGGCAAGGAAGGAATGCAAGATTATAGAAGTGTAAAGGTGCTTTTATTATTTTCTAAAATCAACTCTTCTTGTTTGTCTTGTCGAGAAAAATAGTCTTGAATCAAAGAGATGGAAGATGAAGGATCATCATAGTATGACAGACTTTCTGTAGGAAACAAAGAAATGTTTTTGTGTTGTTTTTTTAAACTAATCTATATTTGACATGGTCCTTGTTCCTAAGGAGAAACTCTTAATAGTATTTGGTGTATAGGCTTAATGTTAAAATTAATGTTTACATTAATAAAAGATAATATAAAAATAATAAAGATAATAAAAGATAAATTAAAAAAATCACATTTAAGACTTAAATCAATTAACATGGGGTGACAAGTATTCATATTTAATTTTTTATTTCACTTTCAACTATAAGTATCTTGTAGAAAAAGGTCTAAAAAAAATTACTTCATCAAACTATTCTAATATTTATATTTTAATTAACATTTCTTCATAAGGATGAGAGTAGCCATAACAGACAGTGTGAGAGACTGAGAACACAAGAGAGCACAATTGTACATTAGTTGTCTTCAATCATCATCAATACATGTTTCTTCTCTGACCATCAATGTTGTTGTTTTTTTTGTACTTTGTTAAATTAATTTTGTTTTTGCAAACTTTGGATATCTAAGGACAAAAAACAAATTCAATGGAAAAAAAAAAAGCAACAACCTGCTTTTCCATTAGAGAAAACTACAAAAGCAGTTATTATAGTTTGCTTTTGCTAACATGTAAGAACGAAATCTATGAATCTAAAAGTCTACAGAAATGTATGTAGTATCATGGCAGAACGCCATATTTGCCTAAGGTCTTACAAAGCTAAATTCATTTTAATATAATTTGAATTTAGTCATATATTCAGAGAATATGTTGAAAGGGAAATAATGCAAACATATTCAAATTTAAAAAAAAACAACTGAAACTAAACAAGAATTTCTAAAACATTATGTTTGTTAAACAAAACATCAACTCATAGCCTGAAAGACATATTAATTATAATTATTTTTAGTATTCAATTTGGAAATGTAACAAATTAAAAAAATGGGGAAAATAGTTCTGGTCACAAGTAGGCTGGTGAACTTTTGACCATGTATGGGCTCTTGAATATACTACGTTCATGTCAATATTTATCAGTTCTACTCAGTCCTAAGGGTCCTTCAACAGAAGATAGCATTGGAGTAACAAGGTGAAATAAAGCAATCAAAGTTAAAACCACTAAATAGTATTTGAACATTTCTTTCAGCTAACAAATGCGTTCAATAAAAAATCATTTGCATAACAACCAAAAATTTTGTTCAAAATTTGAAAGAGATATAAAATAACAGCCACAAGCCCTGATTTTACAATGCCACATGTTGTAATGGAGGGAGATTTTCCCTCCAAGCACAAAATTCATCCCTTTCTCACTTAACACCCCTGCCATTACATTGCTATCATGTTGTATTTTTAGTATTCAATTTGGAAATGTAACAAATAAAAAAAATAGGGAAAATATATTATTACCAGCATTGATAAAATCACTATAAATACAATCATAATGTATTTTTTAAAATGATGCTCCTTTATATGCATATTCATTAACAAACAAACAAAAAATACAAAAAAATAAAACACCACTTTTTGTGATCGAACACTTAGTAAAAGCAAAGATTAAAATCAGTTTAAGGAAGAGTCTTATGTAAAATATAAATAACGTAGTCTTCGCCAAAGTCAATATCAAGATAAAAGAGACACAATGTTGTTTGTGAATTAAATTAATATGAAGGTCATACAGAGAAACAATTTGTAATCTTCTAAAATAACCTCTTACATGAAAAAGCATACTATTGTTATTTAGAGTACTCACATCATGTATAGGCATTATACTCCCTGTACAGTTTCACTATCTACAACAACCTAAGTCCACACAAAATTACAGAGAGTAGGAACAAAGTTGTGATATTATATTAATGCATAAGCTCAAGCACAGGAACAGCATTATGGGGCTAAAATACAACCCGAAATGTGTGTCACAAGCATCTTTCATCTGAGAAAGTTCTGAGTTGAAAGTTGAATGAAAAAGATTCTCTGTTCATGGACTACATCAAGAAGTAATGTTAAAGGCATACATTTCATTTCACAACAGAAGTAAATTGTATGTTATTCAGTTGTGGACATTTTTGTAAACAGATCAGGTTGTCATGACAGCAAGAGACAACATTTTTGTATGCATTATTTAAATTTTAATGATGTTTTGTTTTTACAAAACTTAAAATTGCATAGTTTAGAAAAAAAAAAAGGGTTAGCACATCAGAATTTACAATTTGTCTTGATTTGAATTTCTATGTCCAATTCTTAAATACAATATGATTAAATGGGGAATTCCTACTAACTAATTATAGATACTCTTGCCAACAAAGCCATTCTCTTGTTTTTGTTGTTTTCTAGCGAAAATAAATAATAGGAAAAGAAAAATAAATTTCTGCTCACTGTTGGCTTTCAATGGTATATAATTAATTTGAAAATTCAGGTGTAACTACTTTCCAAAGTCAACAACATAATAGAAAAAAAAAAGGTTCACAACATTGGCTACAATACTAACCAATAATGTTATGAAAAGGAGATGGCAACATTATAAGAAAAAAAACTGAATTCTTAAACACACTATTCTTATCTAATTGGTTTGTTTCTTCGATACAAACTATGTCATTGTGACAGTGATGATGAAAAAAACAATTTTATATACAGCCAAATTGCACATGCATGAAAAAACAACTTTTTCTAAATATAGGTCTTTGTTAAAACAAAACAGCAATCAAGAAGAGCAAGTCAAAATTTCTGTGTAGACTCAGTTAAACAGACACACCCCCTAGTAATAGGACCATCTCTCATTTTAAATTTGATAAACTGGCAGGTATATATAAATTTATAAAAAGTTGTTGACATTTTAATTAACGACTTAGTGAACTCTAGGCTGCAATACGTTTATCTGAAAACTGACACCACAACTTTTTCAGCAACTGGGAACACACAGAGAGACTATAGGAAAACAGTAACTAGAGTTGTATCATCTATTTTCTTGCTCATCTGATGCTTGACTAGATGTTTGCTGCTCTAACCCAGGTGGCTGCCTTGATTGCTCGTCATTCACACTGTTGCTGGTTTGAGGCAAGAGATCCAAATTGGATTGAGGCAATGGATCATTGCTAGGTTGAGCCAAGGGGTCAAAACTAGGCTGTGGCAAGGGATCAACTCTGGGCTGAGGCAAAGGATCCACAATGGGTTGTAGCAAAGGATCCACAATGGGTGGAGGTAGAGGTTCCTCGGTTGGTTGAGGCAACAGATCCTCTGGAAGCAGGATCGGCTTTAAATTAGAAAACTGTACAGTATCTAAGCAAACATCTTCTTGAGTTACTGCTGATGAGTTATACCCAAGAGAATTTGACAAATCTGGCTCTGTTAGAGTCTCCTTCTTACAGGCAGCAGAGGCTAGGTGCTGAAAGGTCAGCTGTTTTAACTCAGTGATGAGCCATTTGACACCCACCATCCACTGACTAACCTGAACACATAGAGTAGCAAAGAAAAATGTTATAAACATTTCAATATAAACCTTAAAATATTTTTAAGTAACAGAGAAATCACTATAACTACATAGACAATTCAAAATTTTAAAACAATTTTTCATTATAAAAAAAACAATTACTAACTACATAAAATATCAATTATATTAAAAATATGTATATAATAAAACAAACATGTATATAAAAGCAATGATAATAAATATGTAAAGAATATGAAATCAAATGTTTATAAACTAATGTTTAGATTTAATTATAATACTTTTTTGCTAATTTGTTATGCTTATAGAGCCAACCAAAAATAATAATAAAATAATGGATTACTAACAGGGCCGTCTTACAGATAGCGGGACCTTATGCAAAGGAGATTGCGCGGGGCCCATTCTGGCTTGTGGTAAGGATAATAAGTTAAAATTAAGATAGGTCTTTGCATTTTACTGATACTTTCTTTACTAAGAACAAAATCACTATCAAATCAACTTTATGAGCCATCTACATTAGATAGTAGTTTTCCAACAAAAAGCCGATAAACATTGAGATCTACCTTTCCAGATTTACTATCGACTAGCCAAATATGACGTGTTTTTTTTAAGAGGTCGAGATAGATTTATATTTATATGCCAGTGTCTATAAAAGTAAATTAAGTATTTGAACTTCTTGTTTTGGTTAAAATTCGCCTTATTATTAAATTTTTATTAAATGAAAGCTGACAATGCCGTTTTTTTTTAATCGCAAGTAGAATTAGGTTGTCCATATTGAATGATACCCTGACATGGCAATTTGGGCTGTTTTTAAGGAAATTTGCATCAATTTTCAGAACATTTTAATTTCAGGAGATTTTCATGACTTTTCATATATTTTACCATTTCAGAATTCCAGTAACCCTTAAAATGGTTTAATTTAATAATGTACACCTAGAATTTGCGCGGTTGCCTATGAAAGTGCGGGACCCACTGCGTCTGCATAGGTTGCAGTGGCCTAAGACCGGCCCTGATTACTAACAACTTATGAAGTAGAAATAAAAGAATTACCAGTACCTCTGATATGTGATCTACCATCAATGCCAGGTGTAGACAATCTGCTTGCTTCAGATCTTTTTGCTGCAAAGCTGTAAATCAAATAACATTATAAACAGTAAAATAAACTAAAGATCTGCTACTTCAGACCCTACAATCTATGGGGGCAGATGACCCAAGATTAATGGAGGTATCATGGCTAGTACAACGACCAATCGTTTTTACTGCCACATCATAAATCAGGTACCCATTGGAGTTTTGTGAACTCTGGGGTGTCTTAGAAATCCAGAGTTAAATCTCAGACTTTACTGGTATTTAAACTAGAGACCAAGAAACCAAGTGCTTTAACACTCAGCCACCTAACCCTCATTATAAACAATGCAAAAGAAAAAAGCCAAGATTCATCTAAGAAAAAAAGACATAAAGCCTGAAACAAGAAACATAACTAGTGGTAAAAAAAAAAAAGATTATAGGTTTTCTTTCAAGATAAAAAGGTCAATGGTGTGGGTAGAAATATAGTTCAATAATGACATTTTGAAAACTAGGTTCATAAACAATGCAAAAGGAAATTTATTAAGACTGTAGACAACATTTTTAGCCTTTATAAAATCTGATTCTCAACAGTGACACAGAAGTAACCAATTAAAACTTTTATTATGTGATAGACTTTGTATAGAGAAAAAAAAAAGGAATCATGTTCAAGTGCTTTTGTAATTTTTGGAGTTTTGAAATATCTCAATTCCAAAAAGCTATTCAATAACATACAAACTATCTTTAAAACAGCAAAACAAACATGGAGGAGATTGGTAGACCAAAAGGCAAAAATGGCAGAATGGACATGGACCCAGAAGAGAATCTGATGGCAAAGTACTGTAGGCCTTCTGGGAGTCAAAAGGTTAAGGTCTAGTAGGCCAACAGAAAATCTTTTTAATACATTTTTCTGTTTCAAATATTTACAATATGTATTCTTAATTTTAAAAACAAAAGGGCACGCTTTTCTTACATAAGACCACAAAAAATCATTGTACTTGTGAAGATATTTTAAAATTGGTTTCTATTATTTATTGACTACTATGAATGTCTACAATGTTTCTCTAATAACTTTTATAGCATCTCCCAGACTTACTGGATTAATCAGGATTAAAGATCTCAATCTCCAACTAGATTCAAGCAAGAAAAAGATCTAAAGCAAACAACTTTATGTCAGAGAGAAGTGAACGAAAATGTGTATGATTTTACCACTTGCTAAACATCCCAGTTTGATCTTAGCACCTTCTGAAAGTTTGCCTTCTCTCCATTGATCATCTAACATACTCAACCTGGCCTGGACATCACCTCTTGAGCGACCCTAAATCATGAGGCAAAACAACAACACTAAATGACAATTTATTTGTATGTGTTTTAGTTTTAATGTATATTTGATAAAGAAGGAAAATTTCCTTTGAGACCCCAAACCCTAAAGAAAATCTGACTATAGTTCACCCAATATCAAAGTAGTTAGATTCTTAAAATGTGTGGAATAAATCTCCTGAATGATGCATAATTTGAGTAAGGAGGGCTTTATTTCTTGAGAAATTCTACCTAGTTATGAACCAAGAACTCTAAAATAATCTAAATTTGTGACAGACATAATAAAAAAACAACTTGCTATTTCATTATTTTGTTATCCAAAGACTAAACATTTGTGTTTGATTCCAAAAACTGTGAATGTTTTTAAGTGTCAATACACTTAATTATTGATTTGGCATTGAAAGAATAAACATAATTTCTATTCCAAGACGTAAGTGGTGCCACTTAGTAAAAAGGTGGCCTTGATGTGAATTAGGACAAGCATGTAACATGTTTATTACATCAGAATATGTTTATAACATATGAAGGTATGAAAAGGCATT